TTCACCCACTGAGAAGTCTCACTGGCCTTTTTGCTCAATATTTCCATGTTCCCACCTTCTTCCTTTACCTCAATTTCATATACATTGCTGTGCTTTATGATAAATCTCGACTCTCAACTAGTTCAGATTAATTTCTTCTTCCTTCTGTTTTAACCCCTTTCTGGTCTTCTGATCATGTAATATCATCAGTCTAGTTTCAAATTTGCTGACATTTTCCTCTGCCAGTTGAATTCTATGTTTGAGGAACTCTGATAAATTTTTCATTTTGGTTACTCATATTAGTTCAACTTCAGAATTTCTATTTGTTCTTTTTTAAAAAATTCTATGGTATCATCAATATTTTCAGTTTGATCAAAGAAATACAGGAGCTAGTGAGATGGCTCAGTGGTTAAGAGCACTGGCTGCTCTTTCGGAGGATCCAGATTCAATTCCCAGTACCCACATGGCCACTCACAACTGACTTTAACGACAGCTTGAGATCTGACACCTTCACATAGATATACACACAAACATAAACCAATGGACATAAAAATTGTTAAAAATAATGATTATAATATATCCATAATATATCTTTAAGCATAATTTTCTTTAGTTATTAAAAATATTAGTAATAGTTTTGTGGTCTTTGTCAATCTCAATTCTGGAATAAAGTTTCTACTGAGTTTCCTTTCTTTTATTTTCATCCATTTGGTAATTAATTCATTCACTTTGAGGCAGGCTGGTTTAATATTTGCTATGAAACCCAGGCTAGCCTTGAACTTATGATCTTCCTGCTTGAGCCTTCTGAATACAAGGATCACAGGTATGTGCCACCACACTCAACTTTGTTTTACTTTTGAATGAATTGCAATTTGTTTTTGAGTTTTGTTGAAAACTGTGTATTTGGGTAATATATTGTTGCAGCTTCCTCTGTTCTTTAGGTTTCTGCTTCTCACAGACCATTGCTCATTACCTGAGGTCCAATATCTTGCAATAAATATGTTTTGTAAAACTTTACTGTTTCACCTAAAACTTAAATTCAGTTCTTATTACCATATTCAGTTGAAATGCAAGTCTTCATTAATAATTTAAAATACATATATTTAGCTTCTTCCTAATTTTCAATTATCTCAAATTCTTGGGATGCTAATCCTATTTGTAAGTTCTATAGACCTTTTTCTTCTCTCTCCTCTCTCTTCTCTCTCCTCTCTCTCTCTCTCTCTCTCTCTCTCTCTCTCTCTCTCTGTGTCTCTGTCTCTCTCTCTCTCTTTCTGTCTCTCTCTCTCTCCATCCACCCACTCACCCACTCATCCATCTATCTACCAAGACAAGGTTTCTCTACATACTCTGGCTGTCCTGGAATTCACTATGTAGACCAGGGCAGTCTCAAACTCAGAGCTCCACCTGCCTTTGCTTCTGGAGACCTGAGATTAAAGGCATGCACCATCCATAATTTTTTTTAATATTTAAATTTGAAGATACATTTTTATTTCATTATATATGTGCTTGCCTATATTTGTATATGTGCACTATTAGCACACAGTGCCTGCAGAGGCCAGAAGAGGCTATC